GGCTTCTGGGGCTCTTTGGCTCGACGCCTGGTGGGTCGTTTTCTTATTGACAGTGTCGTTTCTGAATTGGTGTATCCTTTGCAGAGGACCAAGACATGGACATGAGGAGGGCATATATATTTTACAAGCGAAAGAGAGCTTTGGGACTTTCACATCCTCTGGCACTTGAAGCTCAGTTGCAATTTCTTTTGCGCTATCGGGAATGTCACTGGCATGAAACCGGACAGCTTGACCAGAGTTTGAAACTGACTGGGAGGCCTCGTAGCTACACCCGCCATAGTCCTGTTACTCCGGAGGTAATAGATATGATCCTCGAGGAGACTGGTGTGTCTCGACGGGGATTAAATTCATCTCGGATACGGAGTAATACGTTTTCTCCGTAGTTTGACCGCTGTTGGCACCATCATCCGGACCCTACTATACTTCACTGCATATATCTGGCGTAAGCCTTTGGTACGCCTCGCACATTTCTACACCCAGTAGTGGAAGTATTACAGCATTAACATCATTTTAATCCCATCGAGTTGTTATTTTTTGAAGCACAATTTAGTAGGGTTGCCGATAAGCACATCACATCGGCCTAATCACTGCTGTGACGAATCGGTTTTTCTGGGGAGTCAATACCGGTCCGTCACCGCACTGAATGCTGAATTTGAGGGAAGATGATGTGACGGTGGACCTGCAGAGCGCGACCAGTTAGGCGCAGACACTTCAACCAGTTACTGTGAAGTTACGTAACTGTCCATCATCGTTGCGATCAACCACGACCATGGACAGTGCTGAGTTTCATGCTGCTGTGTACGATGCTGTAAGGCATATCCCGGTGGCTCGTGTTACTTCCTACGGTACGCCATCAGTCCTTCACAATCCTCTCTCCAAGGCTACGACCATTGTATTGATGCAGGCCACATCGCGAAACTCATTGGCATGCCCAGATATTCACGACACGTCGGTCAAGGTACTTTCAACCGTTACCGTAGACTCATCTCACTCAATTACACGCTTAATATTAGCACTTAAGTTCACGTCACTTGACGCGGATCCGCCTGTGCCATGGTATCGCGTCATTTCATCAACAGGTGCGATATTGTCTCGCGGGCCGGGAACGGATGGGGCACAGCGGCAAAGGGAGGCCTTGGAAGCGGAAGGCGTAGAGGTCTCTGATCCCGGATTGAAGGTCGATCTGAGAACGTGGGGATGGTTTCCCGATAACCTCGAAGGGGAAGTTTGACGTATGATCATGATGATTACGAGTTTTCCACGTAGTGTGTTGACTGTATATTGTATGCTTTGAATACGGGATGTGTAATGGTGTCCAAGATCAGTATCCTTCCGCAAGATACGCCGTCGACGGGCACGTCCTTGTGGTTGTCGCATCACTCTTAATTGGTCTTGGCCATTGCTATTCTATCTACCATAGGCCGCCACTTATTCTTGGTCATTGTAGTGATATAACCGGTTCACGATATGTATTATTTTGCGTCAAGAAAAGGATGAGCAGTACTCTAATGTATCTAGTGAAACACTGTCTAAATAGAGACACTCTACAATTATTGATAGTACATGTTTCCATAACAAGATAAAGCGACGACAATAAGGATAGTAGGACATTTTAAGCAGTAATGGTGAATTTTAGCTTGTCGCCCTCAACCTCGCACTTGACCGAGTTCATATTCTCGACGATGAAATGAGCGCCGCAGTCCTCGATCTTCGACCTTTCATGCGAAGTGCAAACAGCGATTACAATCGCACCGCTAGAAACACCCGCTCGGATGCCGGAAGGGGAGTCTTCAAACACGATGCACTTCGAAGCGTCGTATCCGAGACACTTTGCGGCAAGAAGGAACGGATCAGGGGCAGGCTTTCCAGCCTTGAGACGCTTATCGTCGGCAGTGATGGTGACCGGGGGAGGGGTTATCCCGACGCGAGTCATGCATCCGTGAGCTGTCATAGAAAAATAAGTAAGAGGCTGGTGCGACTCAGAAGACAAAGAGGTTTACCGTAAGTCTTGGCTCCAGAAGTCGCGACAGCGTATCTGCCTGCGGGAATGGAATCCATCAACCTTTTCACTCCAGGAAGAATGCGGACGGAGCGGTCAACGCTCGCCGCTTCGATCTGCCAAGCCTCTAGTTCATCCCGACGCGTCTTTTCTTCAAGACCCTCCTCAACGATCTCGTTGTGATTCGCCTCCATGACGGCGTCCTCGAAGGTAGGTTGGTACACCTGAGTCTCTGGGACGGCGCTCATACGAAGGAGGTTCTGCAGACGACTGGCGAAAGAGGGGCGGCGGGATTGGGAGGAAATGATCGAGGAAGCGCGAGAGCTTGGCGCCGAGCTCGCGGGAGTCAGATCGGGAGTACCAAAATCCCAACTTGCGGGAGAACGGAGGGGGGAGTCCATGGGAGAGTTGGAAAAAGAGTTGCTACGAGAGCCAGGGCCATGAGTGTTGTAGGCGTCGGCGAAGAAGAGAATCGACTCTTCAAACTTGGTGACCTCGTCGTCCATTTCGTGTTCTTTAATGTAAGGCTTGAACGCGGCGAGGTTATCCACGGCACGTTTACCGTGGGTGGCGGCGATGACATAGGCTGGGTCCTCCCCAATGTCCTTCGCGACTTTGCCCCAGGCGGCCTCTACAGCTTGGATAGAATCCGTCAAGGTTCCGTCCTATCAACACACTGGCAGAGTTAGATTGGGAAGACGACGATAACGAGGTACACACCATGTCAAAGAGCACCGCGTCGGCGTAGAAAGTTTGAGTCGAAAGCATGATTTCGCGAAAGAGGTAATCTAATAAGAAGTGTAGCTAGAGAGATGTCGATGAAGCTTCGACTGCGAATTGGGGAAATTGGTCACAACATGTCACTTTATATACAAAGATACTTTGATGAATAGGGGGAATGTGACGTCAAGGACGGTTGAAAAAATTTGATCACTCGGCTGTCTTGGAGTCGTCATCTGGGCCAGCATCTCCAGGCAAAGCGGGTTGCCATAACGGGAGACACTGCTGGATGGCTGAGGGACAGCCACCAAATAATTAACGCTGATTTCAACGTTGGCTGGATATTTCCATTTTGCATGTTAACGTCCTCCCGAAGGCTCCACAGTTTCCAAGATCAATGATCAAAAAAAATCTGACTGTAGCAGGGGGATAACGCTCCACGCTCTCCCTGCAATGAATAGAAAACTTAGTTGGAAGCCTCCAAGAATGGTGGATGTCAACTTACCCGGTAGCTCTATCGACACACGAGCGGTTCAAACGTAGAAGGCGGTGATGATCTCCTTTTTTGGGTGATATGATGGAATCGGTTGCTGACCATAAAAGGATCATCACCACGTTTTCCTGGACACACGTCACAACAACCGCATAGCGAGGCACGGCCGATCGCGTCTGCGTATGCTCTGCCTTCCAGCCTTCTTCCCTCACCTCCTTTTGCAGTGGCTCCTCTGGCTCCGTCGTTCTTCCTTGTTTTTTCCTCCTCTTTTTTTTTCTTATTTTAGATCGCATTGTTAGCTTTGTGGAGCCTTCTATTGATTATCTATGCTAAAGGGACTCATGAATAAGCTAATGGTCCTCCGTCTCAATCGCGAACGTCGGATTTGGTTTTTATTCTGCTCCCCTACGTGTGAACACATCCACGTGCTGCTGGAGCGTTAGGTTACGATATGCTAGGAGCCTTATCTATAGGCTGGCATTCTGCCGCACTGGCCTTTGTTCCCTCTGTCATTAGGGTGTCTTCTTCTGACGCTCATGCATTCATGTATCAGAAAGTCTACCTATATGGTCCTGCGCGTAACGGAGCCTAGACCAAGGCACCAATAACAAAGGGCAGACGTATTTCATTGAGATGGGAATCATGTTCGCGCCGCCCCCACTTCAGGTCGTTTCATCTCCAACCTGGGGCTTGATTAATGATTACCGCAGATTACCGCTCAGCGTCTTGAATCATGGGATCAAATGGGCTTCCGTCCCCGCATCTGTGACTTGTGAAAACCTTCCACTCGGAGAGCCCTCGAAGCATACTTGTTTCTCGCATGAATGCATGCGCAACAAACGTACCTGACGTCACGTAACCAACTGTTATTAAGTCATTTCTCTGTACCTGTCTCCAGACTGTCGTCTTATTGCGGAGAAGACGTCTATACTCGTCCTTCCGCCCGCTTTTTCACATGTCTAAAGAGTGTTTCCAGGGTGAAATAAAAGGTACTGAAAGGAATACCTTCAAACGATCAACGTTCGAAGTTCTTCCTTTGGCTTTTGTAAGTGGCGAACCTGACCCGAAGAACAACTTGTTTCTCTGACGGTACCTATCTGGCAGAATCATCTGGTCAGAAAGATCCTGGGGTTCTGCTCGAGTGCAGGGAATAATGCACGGTATGTCTGAACCGCACCATACCGTTACTCGTCGGTCTTCCACCACTCTAGGCCCATCCACAAGGTGAATTCGAGATCCCTATCGACTCCGGAGCGGGAGGAAGACCTCACAGCTCGATTTCATTTTATTGTACACAAAGCTGCGCCCATCTGAGAGCAATACAGACTTAGGCTGGGTCCGCCATCCTTATATTTCCGAGCTACTGCATGGCGACAGTGTGTGAATTTCCATGTTCGTTTGCTTGGGCATCAAAGAAATCCTTGTTAAGCATCACGGAAGTCCTCGTGACCTATTCTGCGCTGAGCACTGATTGGGCGGTTGCCACTTATTATGAATTTATAGTGGTGCAATGGTACCCCGCCACTGGTGCCAACCGCAGAACAACTCTAATTGGCCCTACACTGAAGGGCGCAAAACCACACTACAAGCCCGTTACTGTGCTACACACCACATGCCGACCACCAGAAGAAACTAAAGTTATGAAGGAGGGACTAGGACACTTGGTAAAGGTACGTCCATTGTCTCTTATTCTAACTATTTGTGGTGGTTAATAAAATGTAGAGTCACACAAAAAACCTGGCCCTAGCCAGGTGACATTAGTATGATATGCTTCCTCATCTAAAGTAGGCATTAATGGGGTAGTGGTAACCTGGGTCGTTGCCATATTGTGCATCTTCGACCCGCCGGGGGTTCAATTCCCCCTTAATGCAGGTCCAGATAATTCGGAATAGCATTTTTCTCCCTAATCAAGAAATCTTCTCTTGAGCTGAGGCAGGCTCCGCGCCATCATGGTGGCTAAGTTTTAAGTTTTCCCCTAGACAATTGGAAACTCCAACAATGATAATTTCGTCGTTGGTCCCCCATTGACTGACACCTACTGTCAAGACTGGACGATAGAAAGTTGAAAGTTTTGTGCGTGGAGCCAACGTTCATTATTATATTATCGCGACGGTGTGCTATTCTGAACCAGACTTCGCCCCTGACATCATTTCGAATCTACACTCTGTTTCCGACCTCAAGGATCAGCCCATTCAACTTCGATAAAAATTTCCGGTCTTTAACCGGCCCGATACCGGACTTGACAATCTGCACCGTCCCTTAAGTATGTCGGCGTCCATCTATCTGTCTTACGTCGATGATCGTGATCACGTCGCGTTGTGCATGTCGAATGTCCATTCTCTAACTAAGTTCAGGGAGGATAAATTTGTGATAGTAAGTTTTTGGTGATTACAATGTCGTTGTCCATTCCAAATTCCAGACTTGAGAAACTACAGACGTAATCGACTGCGTAAATAATCCGTGAATGCGTATACGTACAATTGGCTGTGATAATCCATGATGGTTTCGAATCTATCGGGGAAATCAAACCAAGTTAGTTCGCTCGGAATGTATGGGAAGCATAAGGGACTCGCCTTCGTTGCTGCATTATTACAGCCGTGTAGATTATCTACACCTATGTTTTGCGAACCACAGGTCAGAGCGGCACAATTAGTTATTAGTAGTATGAGTATTGCATATGAATGAGTATCTGAATCGGAAAGCGATGTCTGTTGCAGGCGGCGGCATAGTGAGAACGCATACGACAGCGGGGACACTAGGATAGCATGGAGGATAAATGAAGGGAACGACGAATGCATATCCAGTATCGACAGAGGGAAAAGGGGGTCAGACACGACCATCTGGACAAGTCACATCTACAGTTGAGGATCATCAGCGCAAATACTACCATGGTCACCACGTAGTAAACTCACCCAGATATCAAACCGTTTCTTCCTTCGCGAACAACTCATATCTGGCGGGCCGGGATCCACAGCCCGCATAACACACGTCGAGGGGCTCGACGTCGTGAGCATAACGAAGGATATCACTTTGAGATTATCATCAAAGTCGATGGTACACTCAAAGTCCTCCCTCCACCCCTTCCGACTCGACCTCCACGTCCAATGCACGCTCCCGAGGAGAATGACGCGCCTAGCGTGCACCGAGATCCTCATGGAGTGCTTTTCCATCGCAGAGCGCTCATAATGGGTCGCCAGCAGATCAAAGTACGATCGAACGGCGTTGAGCCCCGTGAATCGATAGGCATCGGGGGTTTTACAGTCTGCGAACGAATGCTGTATGGTGACCGTATGGTGCTGGGAAAAATGTGCCAAGAGGCGTATAGACGTGGAGTTATTGGCGATGTCGGAGAAAAGATTGTCTGCGACGACTGTGAGGTCTGATACAGAAAGTGACATTGTGGGAGGGAAGGACTTGAACGTTTAGCCAAGGCAAGTAGGATCCTATATAAATCATTGGACCTCGGGCAGACGGGCAGATATTTTTGGTATGGCCGTAGAAGGGTTCCAGGTTCGCAGGGACTTGGCGCCGGCTGGTCGCAGTCGAGTGAGTAAAAAAAACATAATACGGGCATGTTTACGGACTTGCTTCACTCGCATCATTGGTACTTTGGTACGCCGTCCAAGGTGTAAGAAGTTAATATGATATTTGACGCTCACGTCAGTCGAAAATCCGGCACGTTCATGCGGTCCTACCACGGATAGCAGCCGACAGCTTCGGATTAGCGGTCGGCTATTCGTGAACACTGGCAAGTCCTTTTTATTAAGCAAAACTACTCGAGAAGATACAGGTAAGAATCAGCACGAGATAGCTTTAGTACCTGATGATATCTTTGTACCGGGGGATATGAAGGGTATTTTTGACTTCCAGTGTACTGCAGAGATTTCTGACAGTAATTGTGCCACAGATTTTCAGGGTATAGGACGAAAACAGCAAGCTTATTCCGGGTGCAGAACGCTGGGCCGCGATTTCAAAATCCACATGGCGGTTAACGAGATCAGTGTACGCCAGTGAGTTCCGAAATGACTCAGTTCCAGCTAAATTTTTTGACCTGGACGTTAGCAAGACAGCTTGCAAATCAGCTCGGGCATCGGTCATGGTCCACTGTGCTTGAAGTATTAGTACGTGCCCGGCCTAACATTGGGGAGGGATCAATTCAGCGCCTCCGAGACCGATAGATAACCTTCCGATCCAAACACAGCACCAGGGTCAGGTTCCGCGACAGTTCCTTGTGGCGTGATCCTTGTGGATCTCTTCTAAAAAGAATGCTGCCTAGCCGTTGCCGTTTAGTGCGCTTCCGGGTGAAGGATAAATGCAGACTGGAGAAAAAACCGCGATCGTAAGCGACAACAAATGAAAAGGCATGGGTCCATATTTGCTTCAGCCTGCTGTTTCAATTTCGCTATACCTTTTGCGCGACAATCCAACGATCTCAGTGAACCAAGTGAGTGTCGACACAAAGGCATTGTGCGTCTTCCAATCGTGTTTCGCGGCACCAAAAGGTACCAATTTCACCATGCACAAAATTGTTGGGGCTGTGGCGGTGGTTCCGCGGTGCCTTTAAGAAGACGACCCCATTCAATCGGATAAGTTGTTGCCTGCCAGTGAGTAATTTCGGCAGTTTTTGTATCGACAGATTAACATAACAGGTCATTTTCATGCGAGCCTCAGATGCTATGTACTACGAAGGTGCATCCACCTGTCACGGACGCCAGAAATCTCAAATAAATGTGCAGGCGGGACATTAGCCTGTCGTTAACATGAACCTATGGCTTTGGGCGGTGTTGCTTTGCCTGCTGGAGTGTTAGTGAAAGTCAAAATCAAGAATCGAGGGTGGTGCCTTAGGGTGGCACGTCAGAATACAGCAACATCTCGACGCTTTCGAGCGCGGCTTCGTTTATGATGAATAATTTGACACCCTAGCATCAGAGAAAAGGCCTGCGGAATCAGAACGCACACCACGTTCTGGTGTCAGGATCATCAAGGGGTCGAGTCAGAACCACGGATCTGTTCGTATAAGTCTCGAGTCCGAAGATAAGAGTAAATCTCCGTTGTTCCTTCCGGTCGCTAAAACGCGAAGTCTAGAGGCTGGGAATTAGATGGATCAGGAGCATATATGTTCGAAAGATCAGGTACAAGTGGCGTCGCTTGTCTATCATAAATCGAAATCGTACGCAACGCCTGAACCTATGCAAATATTCGGATCACAAGGTCAGTGATTCAGAAGCCGTGCGCCTGTGTTTTGAATTGTCACCGAAAGGATGAATTGTATCGACGGAAACTGCCAGGAATACCGTTATGTGGCGTAGAAGCTAAAAGTCCCTTGTCATACAGACTATTGATTCCCTAGGATGGTACGGATAGTGCAAGGTCCGAAGAATATGAGCAAGAACAAATAATTGAGTCGATAGTGAAGACATGTACCAAAAATATGGAGGTTGCATGATTCCGAATTCCTGGACAGTATGGAAGATGTCCATGAAAATCTAGGTGTGGCCAGCTCTTAGCAACGAAAATTAAAAAGTATTGGCCAAATCCAAAAAAACCCTGGAGTTCGGTTCACCCTAAGGATATGGACCACTCATCGCGCTTAAATTGTAATCACTGGGAGACGAAGATGGGTAAATAGCGCGCCACGACTGGAACTCGACTCGAAACCTGTCCTTGGTGATCGTATATGATGGGCTAGATTGACGTGAGTGCATGTATTTTACCGGCGCAGTCCTTGAGGTCGGACCAACAATCCGGTATATGCCCAGCAGAGACTTTTGCACGGCCCATTCGCCGGACCGCTGAAGCTCAAAATATAAAACCGAAAAGCATACCAAGTCCTTGGCGCTCTCGGGTGAGTATTTCTTCCCAAAGATTGATGGATAGCGGCAAGCGCGAAGATCAACCCGTAAGGAATGTGCTTGGACGAATATGATTGGGCCATCGCGTACGAGATATTCACAGAACGGTACAAGACACCGTCCTGACCAGCATGAAAAAATGTCAGTTCGATTACGACATCAGGGTACATAAACTTACCCGATCGAGACCTGTAAAACGCTCATTTGCAGCATTGAATTATGTCTTTATTTAATCTATACAGGCAATTCGCTCAACAGGAGCCCTGAACATGCACCGACGCGCGCCTAGAGGATTTGAATTGAAGTAAAGCGACGCTGAAAAAAAGTTGTCAGGAGTCAAACTGAAAATGGCGAGATGAACGTACTTCAAACGTACTTTTAATATCTGACAGACCGGCTGAACGCCAAATCCTCGGATATTAGTGCTCACTGGGAGTTCTGCTTTAATGCAACTGTCAAATAACGATGCTATCTTCGGCATTATTGACTCCGTTGCTGAGTTAGTACGGGGACAATCGATGTTGAGAAAGGGACGAGCAGCAAATACATCGACCCTTTGGAAAACAACAGTCCTTCGTGTATTTGCTATCTGATAGCCCAAAGCCTCTGACCAGTTTTTATCGTCTCGATTGATACCTGCCACATCCTAGTGAAACAGAATGATGCAAAAACCAATGAAGCGAGCATAAACCTTATAATTTGACTACCGTGATGCATACGCGAATCGTCAACTTATCTTTCACCTATTCTTGGATCGATCATCAAGCTACCAATAGAGTTAAGTCGACCCCTCGGTCCCGGATTCCCTAATATTGCCCAGAGCTATGGCCGTGCATCGCATCGGCAATACGCCCCTTTGGATTCGTGCGTCGCTAAAAAAGCGCGTCAAGAAGACTTAAAATGTCGCAGAAGCACGACACGCATACCAAAGATCTAGATGCGCAAAATATCGCGGCTATATGGACATCAAATTTGCGGCGCAGTTTACAGGTTCAGCGCAACCATGATCGGGTTGGCAG